ATAAAAAGACTTTGAATGACTTTCTTCCACTCATAAAACTTATCAATAGAACAAAATTCATGGTTTGTTATTTTGATTTCCTTGTTGTGGATTTGATTAAGATGCTCAATTAGCTTTGCCACACTTAAAACCCTAAATTAAATAGTGTCACTTCTAGCACTGTATATATATTCAAATTATACTTACATTGAGCCGCATAAATTGCAGAAAACGTGAGAATCTTTGACGCTTTTCTCATTGCTATGTTTCTCCTTAACATGCTTTGAAAGTGAAGATGAAAACTGGTAAGACAGATGGCAGAAAGGACACTTCTTTCTTTCTTCAGAACTTTTAGCAGATGCAGTCATGGTGGCACCACGTGGGTAGGTGTGGTATATAATGTTAAACACGCCCACATTGAAAAAGATACTGGAATATCCCGACTTTTACTGATGGCTAATGTACTGTAATTAATGGCTAGTTTTACACTTCCGAGCTCTTTCAAATCTTTTATACCAGTAGACCCTACAAATCAACTCACAAGTATATTTATTGTTTTTTAAATTTTATTAAAAGCTTGTTTCAGTTACTGATCTACCTGAGGTACATGATTTACTCAGTAGACATTGGCTTGGAGTCATCAATTACTATGATCTTGGTCTTTGTCTTCAGTGGTCTATCTCCTGCTACACTGGATGCTATTAGCAGAAGTAATAAAGGAGATACTGAGGGTTGTCTACGTGAGTGTCTTACTAAATGGCTAGAGAAAGCTGATGATGTACAGGAGACTAAAGGTGGTCCTACTCAGGGGCGTATCTGAGGGGGGGCCTACAGGGGCCTGACATAATTACAAATACTGCTCTGATTGCATTAAGACATTTAATGTAGATAAGTGTTTATAATGCTTTCATAAGCAACTTAGACTGATAGCAAATCTTTACATCAGTGGCTGATATCATTATCTCTTAAAAGTTGCGCAAGGAACTAAGATAATTTAGTTTTGGCAGCAATTATCAATGAATAGTATGAAAAGTAGCTAACAAAATTCAAGTTGACCCAACTCTAGTTGCTAATTAATGAGCATAAGATATTTTTATTTGACTTACTTTCAGGGTCATGTTTCCTACATATATCAAGCTTAAAATTATTATAACTTCCCTCTAATCCTGTAGATATTTTTAAAAAGCAAGCAATAAAGATAGTAATGTAAAATTTAAAAAAACTAGTTTAAGTATTAGTCAAAAAAATACATCTATAATAATTAATTAATATTTTTAGTACTGCAACTAAAGTCACTGAATAATATTCATACTAAAAAAATG